TTCTTTAGGTAGATATACTCCTAAGTATTTTATTCTTTTTGTTGCAATGGTGGATGGTATTGTTTCCTTAATTTCTCTTTCTGTTTTCTCATTGTTAGTGTATAGGAATGCAAGGGATTTCTGTGTGTTAATTTTATATCCTGCAACTTTACTATACTCACTGATTAGCTCTAGTAATTTTCTGGTAGAGTCTTTAGGGTTTTCTATGTAGAGGATCATGTCATCTGCAAACAGTGAGAGTTTCACTTCTTCTTTTCCTATCAGGGTTCCTTTTATTTCTTTTTCTGCTCTGATCGCTGTTGCCAAAACTTCCAAAACTATGTTGAATAGTAGTGGTGAGAGTGGGCACCATTGTCTTGTTCCTGATTTCAGGGGAAATGCTTTCAATTTTTCACCATTGAGGGTAATGCTTGCTGTGGGTTTGTCATATATAGCTTTTATTATGTTGAGGTATGTTCCTTCTATTCCTGCTTTCTGGAGAGTTTTAATCATAAATGGGTGTTGAATTTTGTCAAAGGCTTTCTCTGCATCTATTGAGATAATCATATGGTTTTTATCTTTCAATTTGTTAATGTGGTGTATTACATTGGTTGATTTGTGGATATTAAAGAATCCTTGCATTCCTGAGATAAAGCCCACTTGGTCATGATGTATAATTTTTTTAATATGTTGTTGGATTCTGTTTGCTAAAATTTTGTTAGGGATTTTTGCATCTATGTTCATCAATGATATTGGCCCGTAGTTTTCTTTTTTTGTGGCATCTTTGTTTGGTTTTGGAATTAGGGTGATGGGGCCTCATAGAATGAGTTGGGAAGTTTACCTTCTTCTGCAATTTTCTGGAAGAGTTTGAGTAAGATAAGTGTTATCTCTTCTCTAAATTTTTGACAGAATTCATCTGTGAAACCATCTGGTCCTGGGCTTTTGTTTCCTGGAAGATTTCTGATTACAGTTTTGATTTCCTTGCTTGTGATGGATCTGTTAAAATCTTCTATTTCTTCCTGGTTCAGTTTTGGAAAGATACTTGTCTAAGAATTTGTCCATTTCTTCCAAGTTGTACATTTTATTGGCATAGAACTGCTGGTAGTAGTCTCCTATGATCCTTTGTATTTCAGTGTTGTCTGTTGTGATCTCTCCATTTTCACTTCTAATTTTGTTGATTTGGTTCTTCTCCCTTTGTTTCTTAATAAGTGTTGCTAATGGTTTGTCAATTTTGTTTATTTTTTCAAAAAACCAGCTTTTAGCTTTGTTAATTTTTGCTATGGTCTCTTTAGTTTCTTTTGCATTTATTTCTGCCCAATTTTTAAGATTTCTTTCCTCCTATTAACCCTGGGGTTCTTCATTTCTTCCTTCTCTAGTTGCTTTAAGTGTAGAGTTAGGTTATTTATTTGACTTTTTTCTTGTTTCTTGAGGTAAGCCTGTATTGCTATGAACCTTCCCCTTAGCACTGCTTTTACAGTGTCCCATAGGTTTTGGGTTGTTGTGTTTTCATTTTCATTCATTTCTATGCATATTTTGATTTCTTTTTTGATTTCTTCTATGATTTGTTGGCTATTCAGAAGCGTGTCATTTAGCCTCCATATGTTTTAATTTTTAACAATCTTTTTCCTGTAATTGAGATCTAATCTTACTGCATTGTGGTCAGAAAAGATGACTGGAATGATTTCAATTTTTTGAATTTATCAAGGTTAGACTTATGGCCCAGGATGTGATCTATTCTGGAGAAGGTTCTGTGTGCACTTGAGAAAAAGTGAAATTGATTGTTTTGGGGTGAAATGTCCTATAGATATCAATTAGGTCTAGCTGGTCCATTGTGTCATTTAAAGTTTGTGTTTCCTTGTTAATTTTCTGTTTAGTTGATCTATTCATAGGTGTGAGTGGGGTATTAAAGTCTCCCACTATCAGTTACTTAACTATTAAATTCTAAAGTTTCTTAAAATGGTCACTAACTATTACTTCTATTAAGATTCAGTCTGTAGTCTGAAGAAAAGAACTATAGATGCCCCTTTGAAAAACTATATATATATATATATATATATATATATATATATATATATATATAGGCTAGCAAGAGCAAGGAAGGCAAAAAGACTGACACTAGCTAAGTAAATAAAAATAAACATGTTGACCATTACAAAATGGATGGCCATAAAAAGTCACTAGAACACTGTAGGTAGAATGTAATACAAAACAGAAGCACTTCTCTATATTTAAGTATAGAAAATAAAGCATCACTGATTAGAACAAACAGGATCAAGTTTGAAGAAGTAAAAGTGAAAGTCGCTCAGTTGTGTCTGACTCTGCGACTCCATGGACTATACAGTCCATGGAATTGTCCAGGCCAGAATACAGGAGTGAGTAGCCGTTCCCTTCTCTAGCAGTAATAAATTGTGACCAGTTTTCCTGTGCCAGGACTTAAGCATCAAAACTGAGCACCGAACTTCAGTTTTTGATCAGCGAGCAGGGACTGGGTTTGCTTTCATGCCTTAAGTTAGAAAAATAGGCAAAGCAAATGAAACAATGGTTCTCAGACATTGAGAGACAAGTAGCACAGGGCAGTGATCCTTGAGAGAAGGGAAATGAATGGGGTGAGCCTTACATCTGCCTCAGCCTACTGCCTGGGAGATAATTTCCAGACCAAAGCTCAGGGAAATGGAATCAAACAGAGTCCAAAGGACTTACTGGTGTGAGGAGACAGAGATCAGACTTCAGGGAAGACAAGGCACCTAGAATCTCTGGGACAGCATACCAGTGACAGTCTTCAGATCTAGGGAGGGGTCTTTAGCTGCCTCCTGAGCCACCCCTACAAGAAAGGAAACTGCCCAAGATCAGGGAAAGCACCCCCAAGTAAAGAACAGCCTGAACAGAGAAATATAATCTGTCTGCACTCTGAGAACTGCTTGCTAAACTGACATGGGACCATGCCCCAATTACAACTGGAGGCCTCACCATTTGCTCCATCATCACATGACTCAGATCCATGTCCAACAGGTACCTTGAGTTCAGACACAAGTGTAGGTATTCCACAGGATACCTTCTGTCAAGTCCAGGAAAGTTATGCATTCGGGAAGGCCTTGAGCAGAGGAGGGGAGAAAGGAGCTCTCATACCCACAGGGGCCAGACCTGAGTACCTTTGTGCTCCTGGAGCCAACTGGACACACCATGATACACGGCTTGGAGCCAAAGTAAGGAAACTTAGCAACTACAGCTACTGTTAGTTTTTTCTACAGGTGAGAAGCATTTATCCTTCTCACAGCCTCAGCTTTTTAGCTCTAGCTGGAAAGTCTTGGATTATTTCTGATCTTGGCTTTGCATGGTCCTGTAACAACCATCACAAGCCCTGGTTAAATATATCTGTCTGAACTCAGACTATCTTCTCTTTTTTTGGCCACACCGTGTGGCATGTGGAACTTCCCTGACCAGGGGTCAGACCCATGCCCTCAGCACAGAGTCCTAATGACTGGACCACCAGGGAAGTCCTCAGAGTATCTTTTGAAAAGAAAATACCCTAAACCCAAACTTATCAAATCAACATCTAAAATAGAGCAGAATGAGGCTTTAAAACAGAAACAAAATAAAAATTTACCACCTTTGACCTATTTCATTGTCCCTCAAACTGAATGTCCTTGAGTTTCAAGGGGATTGTGGATATGGAAGATAAAAATCATGCTAATCCCATCTGCATAAATCTTTGTGTCTCTCTATGTCAAAATGTAAGCCCTGCCATCATTCTTCCTAGCCAATATCCATTCCATCATCTGCTTTTTCTGTTAGCTCCCTTTTGTCTTCCAATCTCTATTCTTTATCATACATTCTTCCTGCATTCTCTTTCTGTTCTTAAGGTCCTTCTCTCTCCTCATTCCCTGAGCTTACAATGATACACTAAACTCACAATGATATGCTCACTGAATGTGCTCATAAAAACAACCCACCCTAACACATTGGTTAACAGCAAGAGGTCTAGGACGTATTAGACCATTAATTTGGATAAATGCATTTGGATTCAAATTCTGGCTCTGCCACTAATTAACCAGCTGCATGATTGCCAAGTTACTTAATCTTTCTGTGTCTCAGTTGCTTGTAAAAGAGAACAAGGCGAGGGTGGAATGTTTCGAGAGAACAGCATCGAAACATGTATATTATCTAGGGTGAAACAGATCACCAGCCCAGGCTGGATGCATGAGACAAGTGCTCGGGCCTGGTGCACTGGGAAGACCCAGAGGAATCGGGTGGAGAGGGATGTGGGAGGGGGGATCGGGATGGGGAATACATGTAAATCCATGGCTGATTCATGTCAATGTATGACAAAAACCACTACAATGTTGTAAAGTAATTAGCCTCCAACTAATAAAAATAAATGAAAAAAAAAATAAATAAATAAACAAACAAAGAAAAAAGAGAACATTAATAGTATACTGTATACTTTGTAGAGTTGCTGTGAGGATTAATGAGATAGTGCTTCTAAAGCTGTTGAGATAGTGCTGGGCACGTGGTGGGCTCTCAACTATTTTAAATGTCATTACTATTAGTTAATAATAATGTTATCTTTTAATTAGGGTTTTTCTTGTTGATCCATCAAGGTCAGAAATGAAAGGGAATTATAGAACTTTACTTTTTCCAGAAAGGGACAGGGTAGACTTAAGACTTATGAATTAAAAGCAAGGAAGAAATCCCACGGAGATGCTAGGACATGAAAAGTGTACAGAAGGAAAGCTATGTCTCTTCTTTTGTTCCTTTCCTTCCTCCCTCCTCAGAAACTCATAGAAAGAAAGAATTAGCACCTTCAGGTCCTCAGATTAGAATATAGCCTCACTTCTGGAAGAGCAATGCTATGTTCAGAACTACTGTTGACCAAAATTCAACAGATCCTTCTAAGCCATGTCACAATGCAGCAAAACATCAGAAGTAAGAAAAATAATCATACAACTTTTTTTTTTTTTTTAACAGCCTGCAGAAACTATGAAAAAGCCTGTTACACTGAGGAAGAAATAGACTTCACTTACCTGCAGGAAGCTAGTTGGCTGATCAAGGCTTGCCCTTTCTGCAAAGCATCAGCTGTGCAGTCTTTAATTTCTCTGTGTAATTCTTCATGCCTCGCCGCCAAGACAGGCAGACTTAAACCCTCTGATTTAAGGAGCTTAAGGTAAGCTTCAACTCTTCCAAGTACATCAAATGCCTGCCAAAGAAAACATACTTTCATTTTCTGCCCGTCTAGTGTAAAGTCTACATCAATGTGTACACAAAATACTAGAGATTAAACCAGCCTGCTCAATTTATTCATTTGATCATAACCAAAAACAACAATCCAAGTCTTAGAAAACAGCATATAGCTTTTAGGCTCCATTTAGGGAAACTGATCATAGTTTAGTTTAGTACAGATAAATGTCAACATTGTAAAATTTACCAAAATGATTTACATTGAAAATGTAGCTACACAAACAGTTACAACTGTATAAAATCTGGAGAACCAGGTTTAATTTTGCACGTTCGGTACTGAATACAATGAACAAATGAGATGTTTTCAAAATATTATGCAGACTTCATAACTTGAATATCTCTGTAATATTCTTTTTAAAAATTCCCAATAATTTGCACTTTGGGCCTGAAACGCCAGGGGGAAGTATTCAAGAAATCTGGGGGCTTTTGACACTTGCCTTTCTGAGTATAAAATCTTCTGCCTACTCTACCCAAGGCATCTGTCTACAGAGATTGAGATTTGGTTCTGAAGCAGTGCAAAGACTAAGACAAGATAATATTTAGCTTCTGACATGCATAATAGGATGATCCAGGAAAAAAGAAAAATATCACCTTGCAAACCAAGATGTTGTCTTGAGAGGGGATTTTTGAATTTCTTTATTTTTTTCCTTTGTTGTTATAGCAGATCAGCAACCAAGTATGGGAGATTAAGCTTACAGAGTTAACACAGAGTGAATGAACACAGAGAGGAATTATGCTTTGGGCCATGAAGGCCTAGTTAGCACTGAGAAGGAGGGGTATATGATGTACAAACAGTGAAAGAGGACTATGACAACATGAGGAAAAAAGAGATCAGAGTGCTGTGGTCTTCACAAGTCTCCATCTATGAACTTGGGCCTGGAGAGCAAGAGATGAGTTGGGTAATGTGAAGAGCTGGTGAAGAACAAGGGAACTTTTGCACACTGTCCTTTCACTCTGCTGAAAAATGTCACTTTACAGGGTGCTCCACATCACTTTGAAGAAGACTCCTATTCCAGTAAGCTTGACTGGGCCACGGTGAGCAAGGGCCTAGCCTTCCTGGGTTGTTACACTGGAAGCCAGAAAGCTCGGCTGGGGGCAACCAGGTGAAAAAGGAAGATCCCATGGAAGACTTGTGAGAAATGAGAGCAATGGTCTCATGAGTCAGCTACCACTGAGACCCGAGAGAGACCGGAGAAGGGGGCGAGGCTGGGTTAATGCTCAGGGTACACAGTTGAAGCCACATGTAGCAACTGCAGCTGTGGAGCCGTGTAACAGCACCTAGGTCTCTGCATCTGGCCACCATCAAAGGGAGTTTTTAAAATTTTATTGAAGTAGAGTTGATTTACAATATTGTATCAATTTCTGATGTATAACAAGATTATTCAGATACACATACACACAGGGTTTATCACAGGATATTGAATATAGTTTCCTGTGATATACAGTAAGACCTTATTGTTTAACCATTCTATATATAATGGTTTGCACCCCAAACTCCCAATCCTTCCCTCCTTTACTAGCATTTTCCACCTGGAAACCACAAGGCTGTTTTCTATGTCTGTGAGTCTGTTTCTGTTTTATAGATATGTTCATTTGTGTCATAGTTTAGATTCCACATATAAGTGATAACATATGGTATTCATCTTTCTAACTTACTTCACTTAGTATGATTATCTCTAGGTTCATCCACGTTGTTGAAAATGACATTATTTCATTCTTTTTATGACTGAGTAGTATTTCAGTGTGTGTGTGTGTGTGTGTGTGTGTATACACATACATATATATACATATACATGGGGCTTCCCAGGTGGCACTAGTGGTAAAGAACTCGCCTGCCAATGCAGGAGGCGGATTTGACTCCTGGGTGAGGAAGATCCCATGGAGGAGGGCATGGCAACCCACTCCAGTATTCTTGCCTGGACAATCCCATGGGCAGAGGACCCTGGCAGGCTAAGGTCCATAGGGTTGCAAAGAATTGTATAAGACTAAAGCGACTTAGTGTACATGCACACATACATATACAAATACAAATATACAAATATACATACACACACACACACACACACACACACACGCACACCCCACATCTTCTTTATCCATTCATCTGTTGATGGATGTTTAGGCTGTTTCCATGTCTTGGCTATTGTAAATAGTGCTGCTGTGAACATCTGGGTGCATATATCTCTTTGAATTACAGTCTTGTCTAGATATATGCCCAGGAATGAGATTACTGGATCATATGGCAATTCTATTTTTAGTTTTTTGAGGAACCTCCATACTGTTTTGCATAGTGACTGCCCCTATTTACATTCCCACCAACAGTGTAGGAGGGTTCCCTTTTCTCCACACCAAAGGGATTGAATTTTAATGGCAGAATTGGAACTGAACAAAATTTGAATTAGCAAATGAAATCTCTCAAATACTCTCATACGACTTACATGTTGATATTCTTACATGTTTTTCCAGAATAGAATATCAGCACTAGCGGTAAAGAATTTGCCTGCCAAAGCAGGAGATGCAAGAGACACAGGTTTGATCCCTGGTTTGGGAAGGTCCTCTGGAGTAGGAAATGGCAACCCACTCCAGTATTCTTGCCTGGAAAATTAAGTGGATAGAGGAGCCCGGCGGGCTATAGTCCATAGGGTCACAAAGAGGCAGACATGACTGAGCACACATAGATATATTCTATTTTCTGACCAATGTCCTCATGTCTTCTGAATTTGCTCTTTGAATTTACTGAGAGTGTACAAAGCAAATTCATTTCTGTTTATTTATTAGATGATAGGAAGTAATACAAATAATCACTATAGTTTAATGAGAACTATGTATTTCTTCTCTATTTTGTGTTTCACAATTACTTTTCAGTCAGTCAACAAATATTTTTGAATGTCTGCTGAGTTCCAGGCATATTGTTCTTAACAGCCATGCGAGGGAACAAGAGATTTTCCTTCTTATGTGACAGAGGAAAATGTGTCTCAGAGAAGTTAAATAAATTTCACAAAGTCATACTTGTACCAGGTACAAACTTAGTATTTGTACTCAATCTGTCTGGCCCTGAGGCCTCTGCTTTTAAATCCTGGACCATTGTGCCATGCAGAAAAGGATTTCTATGGGAGGCATATGAGAGAGGGGCATTTCCAAGAAGATCATTAATCTTGGGTGGAACAGTAGAATTTAAAAACTTACTTTCTACAAATAGTGTCTACTGTTCCTTCTTACATATGAGAAAAGATACAGAGAAAAGATTGAGCAATTTCTCTTATGTTTGTAGGACTGTAAAAGAAAGATAGCTTTACTAAAGAAACTCTGAACCTGAAGAACTCTCCTTTATCTGATCCTTTTTCTTTCCTGCAATCAGCAACGGAGCCAAATGTCTTGAGTTCCTGATATTAGATTTGAATTGCTCTCTCAATCTTTCCATAACACTGGAACACCACTCACGTAATAACCCCTGTTTCTGGAATTTTGTTTTGTATTTTTAATTTTATTGCATATTTTGAATAAAGTTGAGTCTCTTGTTAATCAAGGGTTAGTTTTAAAGTCAGTGCCTAAAGCAAAAATCTGGTGTAGTCAAAATTATCATGAACTCCCTTAAATCATGCTTAAAGTTTAATGTATGCTTGCTTCCCTGGTGGCTCAGAGGTAAAGCATCCACCTGCAATGCAGGAGACCTGGGTTCAACCCCTGGGTTGGGAAGATTCCCCGGAGGAGGGCATGGCAACCCACTCCAGTATTCTTGCCTGGATAATTCCCATGGATTGAGGAGCCTGGCAACATACAGTCCAGGGGGTCACAAAGAGTTGGACATGACTGAGCGACTAAGCACTCTAAGCACACACATTGTAATACATCCTTACACTGAGGACTACGAGGCACTGAGCCAAACCAAAGGGAGAAATAAGAGACATCTATACTTAGATATCAGGACATTCGCGTCATTCTTTAAGATAATTCTCAAGTTCTTACTGAGAATGGGAAAAGGATAGATGAGACTTCAAAAGTGCCTTTTCTTGCCTACAAGTTGAACTCCATTCTATCTTAAAATTAAGCCGTTATAATCTTAACATATACATGTTTGTTGTTGTGCTGAGGATTAAAGGAAAATATTAAAGTAACGAGGGGTTGATGGCAGAAGTGTAGTAAGTACTTGAAAAATATTTGCTGGTTCTTTAAATCTTGATTGATCAGACACATCTTTGAAAAATCACTAAGAAGAGCACAGCCACCTGCTGCCTGTTATTCACCCTGGCTGACTTTCCTCCTGGCCCCACTGAACAGCTGTTACTCTCAGATCCTTGGCCTCTGGTCTCATCTTCACGGGAGTTAGATGCTAAAGCCACTGGTACATTAAATGCATGTGTGACATGACTCCACCCCATTCCTCAAGGTTATCATAAAAGGATCATTTCCTAATGGCACAGAAATAAATTGCAGAGCTAAGCATTCACTCAAAGGAGGAGGTGGTAGATCAAGGACCAGGATAATCCATTTGTTGTTGTTGTTCAACTTTGAATTAAAATAGCCAGATTTTCTCTCAAAGTACTTTCTCAGAAAGATCAAAGTGTCAGGAAAGTACTTATGAATTGCTCTGTGTATCACACTTAACAGAACTATAGCAGTAGAAAGGAGGTGAGTGATTTTTTTTTCCTTCATGAGCCCAACAAATAAATTTACAAAAACCTCCTATATTCTGTATAAGAGAGTTTATTCCTTATCCTTAATCCTAAATTAACCCTAATGGGGATAATCTATAAAGACAGATACAGTTAAATTTCTTAATTTTAAGAGGAGAAGTCTTTCAAGATGATACGTCTGTACTTGTCTGAATTATATGCAAAGCTCATTTCTCTTATTCCCATGTAGAAAATGACCTAAGTATCATTGTTCTCACTTAATCTACCCCCAGAATAGAACCGAGTGCTTGTGTATTTACTAGATCTGTAAGGAACCTGATATACT